AATTGTTTTCCTCTGGTATTTTTTTTTTACACATCCACTTGACGATATCATCCTCAAATGTATTATTACTCATGTTTTATTTCAGAATATCATTTTTTTGCTTCTGTTATGTTAATGTTTCTCGCGCGTATAATTTTTGTGCGGTAAATTATCGAAGAATATGGATGTACTTTAAATGTTAAGATAAAATCTATTATTGTTGTGTTTTTTTCATACTAATCAAAACATTGAAGTTTTCGATCGTATAGAATTAAAACGAATATTATATGAAAATCATAAAGAAAAACTAAGAACCTTGACTTTAACATTGATTTTTCAATATTGTTTGGATTTTATTAAAAACATTATTTTGAGAGTTTGAGTAGTGAAAATAAATGTCATCTATAGTTTCAAAGAATAATTGATGGAACTTATTATATGAGTAGTTTGAAAAAGAATATGTATATTAAAAGATGTCACATAATATAAGAAATGCAGAATAATCTATTAGTATATTTGTCTAATAATATGTCATTCAAAAAAATGATCGAATTATACAGAATTATCATTTTTCTTATTTAGTACACTAATAATTTTCTAGAATTTCTTAAATATATGTTTTTACACTATTTTTTTTTTTAAAACATGATTGTTAATTTTAATATAAAAATTGAATGACATAAAATTGTAATGTCATAAAATTTTGTTGATTAATTATTTAAGATAACATATCATAACACTACAAAAAACCAAGAGCGTTAACGTCGTTTATATCTAGGTTTTGCGTCAGTTATTTATCGATTCAAAAAATTGCGTCGGTTATTAAACCGTCTTTACATCGTCCGTCGTAAGATAAACTTGCTTCGTTTTGTCAACTGACGTTAAGTTTGGCGTCAAAATATTCACGTCGGCGTCAAAACATTCACGTCGGTTTAGTTACTTTATAACGTCAGTTAAAATCCGTCTCAAAGTCTCCAGCATTTATGCCACTTATCAACCCACACAAAATACAATTTTATGAGTATTTTTTATTTTCATATATTACAATTTGTGTAATTTATTAAAATATTGAAAGCAGACAGATTAAGCAACTAAAACTTTAATTAATCAAATATAATATGGTTTTACACAATGCAACGGTCTTAAGAACATCACAATTCTGCTTGATGTTGTATTACTCAAATGAATGTGATCTTGTTCTTTTCCACGATTCATCTCCCTAACTTAGCCTAAAAGCATAAAAAAGGAAAAAGAGGTTAGAAACTATTGGTATTTTGAATATCTTCCGAGCACAAAACTCAGTTTATCTGCACAACAAGAAGAAACACAACTCAAAAACATCAGAGCACACAAAGCGTATTTGTGTATAGTGAGAGAGAGAGAACTGTGACTTATTATTTACAACAACTTGAAAGAGGATGATCAGAATCTGAAGGATCAAAATTATTGGGTCCCTTTGATCTGTAGAACATAAACTGTGAATGGTCTTATAGGTGCATAAACAATTTATTCATAGGGATCAGGCCAAAAAACCGTAAAAAAAGAATAGCAAAGTGATTTACCTCATGAAAATGTATCATAGTCTCTTGCATCCAAGTCTAAACTGCAACATTGATGCTTAATGCATGATGCATTAGCCAAAATTGTAGTGTCTTTATCATTCATTATAACTGGTGCCTAAATTTACCCAAAAAAATTGGAATACGTACCTGAACAACTTTCCTACCCATATCTTACAATCTCTAGACAAAAGCTAAATAACAAAACATGTGGGTGGATTTTGCACAATCATGCATACCTAGATGGAACAGAACCAGATTTAGCTAAATCCAAGGAGAAAGTGCAAACACTAAATAACCAAATTGCTCTGACTTGCTTACTTGAAAAAGCTTGTTTAGTTCTCCATCCATAGCATCTTGCACCTAAAGAGACAGAGAAAGCAAAAGAGAATTGGCCTTCAGACTCTGCAAGACTTTTACCTTCCTCAACGCTCACCGCTCTTATGCTCTCGAGATCACATTTGTTCCCATTAGCATTTTAGCTACTGTTGTATCAGAATGAGTTGAAAGATAAAGATTCATCAGTATCGTTCAAACCCAAACATTAACTAATTTCCACAATCTGAAACTCAGTAGAGTAGAGATTCAAACATGTCAAATGAAGAATGCTGATCATTTATACGTCGAAAACGTTTTGATTTCAAGTAATGAATCAAATGTTGATATAGAATTCTACTAAATCACATTGCTCTGTATCATTAACCTAAGGAAGATAATTTTGAATTGACTATGAATCAAAGTCTTATCAAGTCAACATAAATCTTCATATCTAGAAATTCTCACTATCACCGATTCACCATCATCATACCGCAATGATTCTACCTCCAAATTCACAAAAATTGCGACCTAATTAATCCAAATCTGATACCTACTCCAATCAAAATCAACACTCGATTTACAATCTCACTCAAATTGAAAACAAATCCATCGAAATCCCAGAGAAAGATTTTGAATTCGAGATCGAGATCAAAAAATATATTGTTGAGCTCATCGAGCCAGCGACCGACATTCTCGAAAGTAGAGCTACGAGTGATATCGTAGACGATGAGTGCTCCGACTGCGCTACGGTAATAAGCCGATGTAACAGAACGGAACCGTTCCTGACCAGCGGTATCCCAAATCTAAAATTCTCAAACAGAGATTCGTCGATTAAAATTTTTGAAACCTAGAGAAGGTAGATCGGAAAAGTAACATGCTTTACTTTTATAAGTGTTAATTAATCTTTTAATTTTTACGTCACTCACATTTTCAACGTTAAATTCCGTCCTTTTTTTACTTTAACGTCGGTTCCACAATTGACTTAAAATAAGAGACGTTATCTTACAGATTTGTTGTAGGGGAAAATTATACTTAGAGGTACTTTCTCAAAAATATCTTTCAAACAAAGGTACTTTACAAGGAAGAGGGACTTTTGCACAAGATTCAAGAATTTTCGGATCAATTTGCCCTTATAAAGGAAGGAAACGTATATTTAAGTTTTGTGTAATCTGAGTCTCCATGCTCATTAAAATCCAATGGACTAGATTTTAGATCTAGATTGATAATATAAATGATCTGAGCCGTCCATATTCATTAAAATCTAACGGATGAGGTTAATGGAGAGTTTTTGTTGCTATTCACGATGCTAGATATTTCTTCTAGGTGGTAAAAGTTTGACCAGGTAAGATTGGGTTAAAATCAGATCTCTCTATGATTCTTTTCCTTTTCCATGATTGGCTCTTGTGATTTCTAGATTATGGGTTCTTAATTTCCATATTCAAAAACAGTTTTCATCATCTCAGGTCTTGAGAAGAGGACGATAGCGAAGGACGCACCATGAAATACGAATCTAATGAATTTCTAAATTTGATATGATCTTTTATCAAATTGGAGATACCATGGTGATATCGAAGAGAAGCTCTGAGATTTCGATCTGATATGATGTAGAAAAAGAATTTGAATGATGAAGAAGCAAAGCTATGAGGGGCTCTTAACGAACCAAACATCAGAGGTAATTTGATTTTTCTTCCTTTCAATTATTGGTATATTAATTTTTTGGGTTTTGGAAAGGGAGATTGAAATTGGTTTGGTTTTTTAAGCCTTTTTAGTCCTTATCCAAAAAAAAATTTTTGCTCTCTAGCTATGAGCTTGGGAGGTTGAGCAAAATTAAGTTTTCACTAATGAGATTGAACTGTTTACACTAGAGTTGGGGAGTTTGGTGGAATTGGACTATCGTGAGATGAAGATATTGTCACCAGATTTTGATGATTGATTAGCGTGTGAAAATCTTAAGGGTTGTTTGAAGGAGCTCGATCTTACTAAAGTCACAAAACAATCTTTGTCTTTGACTTTTTTAGGCAAGATTGCTATGAGAACATTACGTATTGAATGGTTTGTATTGTGGACAAACTAGTGTGGCCAAATCGTCATGGATAAGATAGTGTCAAAAAAATAGAGACTTATGGATACGTACGCATGGACAAAGTATTGTGGACAACTCAGCGTTAATGCCAATGTGTTTTCATGGTCAATGACTCATGGTCAATGTTTTATAGTTAGTGTTTCATGGTTAGTACTAATGTGTAAACGTAAAGA